AGATAGATAGATAGATAGATAGATAGATAGATAGATAGATAGATAGATAGATAGATAGATAGATAGATAGATAGACAGACTGATAGATAGATAGATAAATAGACTGATAGATAAACACGATGAACAAGTACACAGATGAAGTGAATTAAACGCACTCTCATCATGTATAATGTACCTCACTAAACACACTCAATCCAGCAATCCGATATAAACACAGCAAAACACATTTAAATCATGACCAACTACTACAATAAAGATTCAAAAGCGCTTAATATGACACTAACAAAACTGATAAAAGTTATTAAACCGAAAACAGCTGACGTGTATCAATATCTGTATATATATATATATATATATATATATATATATATATCTGTATCTGGGTTGTTGACATGTATACCGTGAATGCATCCTGTGGTGTGACAGAAAAATTGTAGGAAAAATAAAATAACAATGAAGAAAAATCTCTCTTATGCTATTTGTATATTATTAACAAGAAATTAATTATTAATAATGATTTATTATTTTCTAAATTTTGCTGTTACACCATAGGACACATGTACGATATATATGTCAACAACCCATCTGTACCTGTACCTATATCTATATCTATAATTCTATCTATCGTGTTGTCAGTTATAGAGTCTGTCTGAGCCGCAGCGCGTCCTTAGAAACCGCTCAACTTACAGTTTATGTGAAGAAAAGACCTGCTGTAGCATTACAACAGCATTCTGACCGCGTGTTTTCATCTGAGTGCTACAGAGGGAAAAGAGAAGAGAGCTCGCTAAAGTGAAAACACACACACACACTCTCTCTCACTCACACACACACACATACTCCTAAAGAGCCTACCAGGGTTGTTTATCTCATTCAACACAGTATCAGTTATCATATAGATTTCACTCTCGTAACATTCTGATTTTATTAAGGCATGTGACATTGTTTTTTCGGTTGCATAATGCTTGTATAATGGAGCATAACCAAGTGTGCCTGTCCTCGCCGGCTAGAGTCACATCACAGTCAAAAACCACAGAAACAAGATTAGACAGACATAAAGGAGGTTGCAGGAGCAGACAGCAGGTCATCTGCTTTAGAGCTCGCATGCTCTCTTGCTCCAGAAGAAGTCAATTGACTTAGCGTGATTAGGCTTTTCTTTGACCCGCGAACAGTGCCTCTCATTAGGATGCTCATCTGAGCTGAGATTTCAGAGGCAGTAGACTGGCTGGTAATTCACAACATCTGCCCCTCTTCGGAGCGCAGACACACGGCACTTTTGAATCAACTTTTTCTTTCTTGCTCAACAAAGCCCTTTGTTTACTCATGATAGTTACCAGTCGTCCGTTCCGAATGTGATTTTACATGCACTCTCTGGCACTAATATCAGTTTCCGTTCAACAGCCTCCAACGGCGGCCAAACGTCACAAACGTAACACTCTCCATTTACAGCCCTCAAGGCCTGTGAAAAGTTCAGATCGACGGACAACTACGCAAACGCTGCTCGAGTGGGAAATAAATGAGTATTTTTTCCAGTTATCTATTTGATTTAAATCTGCAGCAAGGAAAAGAGAGAATAAAAATAATAACTATAAATGATACAAATGGAAGGTCCTTGAGTGATGCTAATTTAGACTGTACAACACATTTAAATAATTTCATATCTTAAAGTCCCCAGCTTTGTCAGACAGCTTGCATATGTTCAGCGGTTTGTGGCTTTTGTTCAGTTAATGCAAATAAAATCCTGTTGTTAATATAACATTTAATTTTCAATTGCATATTACAGACTTTATTTAGACGTCTGGCACTAATATCAGTTTCCGTTCAACAGCCTCCAACGGCGGCCAAACGTCACAAACGTAACACGCTCCATTTACAGCCCTCAAGGCCTGTGAAAAGTTCAGATCGACGGACAACTACGCAAACGCTGCTCGAGTGGGAAATAAATGAGTATTTTTTCCATCTATTTGATTTAAATCTGCAGCAAGGAAAACAGAGAATAAAAATAATAACTATAAATGATACAAATGGAAGGTCCTTGAGTGATGCTAATTTAGACTGTACAACACATTTAAATAATTGAATATCTTAAAGTCCCCAGCTTTGTCAGACAGCTTGCATATGTTCAGCGGTTTGTGGCTTTTGTTCAGTTAATGCAAATAAAACCGTTTTAAAATCATGTTGTTAATATAACATTTCATTTTCAATTGCATATTACAGACTTATAATATTATTGTATTGTAAAAGTCTAAATGGCAAAAGTGTCCCCATCTCTGCATGATTTGAGTATTTCGGTTCTAAACCTTCTTTCTTTTGTTGTTCTCTGGGTGTTTTTAGTAAGAAGGTCAGAAGACTTTATAAGGTTGTGAAATCTCAGTATTGTTGTAATGTCCTAATAGCAGGAGTTTTACTGCATACTAGAACACTATTTCATAGTGCTGATACCGTCTGTTGTCTTTGCTGTTCGTCCAGTATTTCTGATGTGATGTAAAATCAAATGATTCCAGTTAACTCATCTGTTCCTCCTTCTCCATGTCACTGAGAAACAGAGATGTGTTCACACCGTGCAGCTCATGAAATCAGGAAGCATCAACAATCCCTCGGTGGGCTGAGTAGGCAGATCACGGGAAGTATCTCGCCACAGAGGATTGGGAAAGCCCCGCTTCTCCGCCTGCAATCCGAGGCAGGAGGACTGTCATCTGCTGAGCGTTCACCTTTGATAAAGAGGGGAAGAAAAAGGCGTCGTGCTTTACAACGTTTTAAAAACGTACAAGACGCTCGCTTTGTAGACATGCTGGCTGCAAATCTGGCAGTGTCACTTTGGAATGGAAATGAGAGACATTTTAAAGAGGAGCACAACACATCATTTCCCAGCGGACGCAGATGTGGGTGTGCAAATCCAGTTGAGATAATGGAGATGCGTTAAACCTGATTCTGACAGTTTATGTGCCCCAGGATATTGGTTTTAAAAAGGGAAACAGAATTTTATCCCATCCTACTTCCCACGTCTATTGTTTTATCCTGAAATGTAACCGAGTTACAGTAAGCATGTATGTTCTGTAAAAGTTTACGAGGTACGAGAATAATTTGGATGTGCATAAACCAAGTGTTAGCACCAAAACAGGCAATTATGATTAGAAACAGGAATAGGACAATAATAACAATAATAATAAAAGGTCCCACTTTATATGAGGTGTGTTTAATGCTGTATATCAGAGCGCTGCCGTTGTACTTTTGACTGAATTGCTTAGCAACTTTTATAATTGCTATTGTGGTTTATTATTACTATTCAATAAATAATATTTTATATGAATAATAGTAGTATTTAATTATAGTATTTAGGAAACAGTGTGTATGTTTGTGTGATGGTCATTATAGTTAGTTGAGACTTTAGTGATTTTAGTTAGTAAAGACTTTTATATTGAAAGAGACTGAAACAGGGTTGTAAACAAGCAAGCTCTTTTCACTTTCAACAACAGCTTGTAAGACGCAGGTAACAGATGCAGTGAGCAGCGCTGTCATCGGAAATAACCCTCAACAGATGAAAGATAGTACGACAAAGATATCGCTTTCCTCAGCGGACATTCAGACTGATGTTTTATTGTGAATATGAGATTGAGCTGAAGAACGAATGCTGTATCAGTAAGCAGTAAGGTACGAGAAGCCGTGCTTTATTGTGAATAAGTCATAGTTGAAGGTGCAGCAAAACGCCAGCAGGGGTCACTCATACTTCAGTACATAATAAACAGCTAATTCTGCTGAAATACATAATATATATTGATTGTTTATGTTGCTACGGGTGTTGCGCAGTGATACACAGAACCGTTGGGTGAAACGGTCATAGCCGTGCTTTATCGTGACCAATCAGAATCGAGGACTGGAACTAACCGTTTTATAATACAGTGATACAATAAGCTTTCAATGGAGCAACTAAACGTTCCTTCGTTACTAGTTCTAAAATAACATTCTCGAATTAGTAACGGATCTTGAGCTCAGCTGTTAAACTGTCAAACTGAGATTTGAGTCCGTGGCGGAAGGAAGTAGTTCTGCATACAAAATGTTTTTAAAGACACGCCATGGTTCTTATTTATTTACACATTAGTGCCGTCTGTGTATAAACGCAATATCACGAGTACCTGTGTGATAACGCTCTGCATTGCATAGAGAGAGAGAGAGCATTGTATCTATTTATTAATTGAAATGTTAATACATAGTAGTTAAAGACACTTTAAAAAGAGACAACTGCAATTGTTAACTCTGATCAAACACTTAAAAATCAGTTGGTACAAATTCACGTATATAGGTTCGTTCATTGATGTTAAACTTTATAAAACCAGATGATTTAGACGTTACCGTTTTTCGGTTAGCACTTTTTGCAGTGCACTTAATTTAAAGTGAGCTCTAAATTCTTTATAAACATATAATTCTCTGCAAGGCACAATCCAGCTCCTTCATAGCAGTGACAGTCTGTTTATTCTGTGCAATGGCTTGCAACCTACAGAGCTGCATCTCTCCACTCGCCCATCGGCAAACCTGTCATCACGCGCCCATCCGCTTGCATGCAAACACACAGAACGCTCCGCATCCCAGGACGAGCTCCACTGTTGAGCATTTGTCCCCTGTGCATGAGTCTCTGGCTCCATCTGATGACCTTCTTACTGTCTTCAGCAGGCAGTGGGTTTGGATAATGAGGGGATTGATACGAGGGGCTCTCTTTCTGTGGGCGATGGGGGGAGAAAGGGGAGCCAGCGGGGTGGAGGGAGCAATGCTTGCCCCATGCGCCTCTGCTGAATTGTGGGAAAAACGCAGGGAAGTGATTCCCCTACAGGCTGTATCAGATTTCCCCTGAGAGGATCATGCAGCTCAAATAATGTAAGCCCCTGGCAAACACAGAGAACCTTTTCACTCCTTTGTTTTTGTTTATGCTTATGCATGTGTGCAAAGAGGTGTCCACGGCCATTATCATCTGAAAGTATGGCATCAAGCGTATAGCTAACATATACGTACTTTGTTTCCTTCCACCGCGAATCGATGTTCCTTCTAGGGTGTGGAAAGTTTACACAAGAGAAGAGATCAATGGTAAAAAATGACTTCCATATTGAGGGTGGATGGCGAAGGTAGAGCGAAGCACGCTTGGCCTGCTCTCACAAGTCGAGTGACTCCATTAGCTTGACATTCTCCTCAGTGCCCATAAACAGAGAATACGTGTGGCTTTTATCGAACAGACACACAGTCTATGACAGCTGATGGCCGTCCCAACGGACCAAAACCGGTAGAAGGTTCAATAGCTCATCATCAACTGCCCTTTGAGTAATTAGACAATTGGAAGGGGTCTGACATCAACCAATACTTACGCTGGGGTCCCACAAGGGGCTTTTTGCAGCTGATTTCAGAAAAGAAGCTGCTTTAATGTCATGTTTTTCTCGAGCAAATAAAGAGTCGAGCTGCTGAGTTCATAACTCTTGGACGCCACTTGTTCATTGCGCTTAGAAGATGGCAATGATGTTTAATTGAGCTTATTTCATGCAGTATAATCAAAAGAATTTAAAAAATGTGTCATAAGATTATGCAAGAAAATCGATTTCACAGCTATTTTAATGCTTCATCTACAAGCTACAAGTTGCATCAAACATCAAACGCTGAATTACTCGCTGGAAACTGAACCCACGTGAGCATGCTAATGTATCCATTACTCATAATTCTTTAAAGGTCTATTTTCTCTCTTCTGTTGTTTAAAATCAGGGAGCAATGTAC